GCTGTAAGACAAAATCTTGCAACCCAGAGTCAGACTTTGAAGCTTCAGCTTTGCGCTTTCTGCCCAAGTGCTTCCTTGCCTGAACACCACGAACAGTCAGCCTCTCTTTTGTGGTTCCATTTGCTCCATCACCGCTGAGTGAAGCACTGCTGCCCTCTCTGTCACCAGTGTCATCTGAGGGTTCTTCAGTCTCCTCATCTGTACAAGTGAAATACAAGAAAAAAATAGATTTCATTAAAAYATAGCTTACATTTTYGCAAATGCATAAAAATTGACACATGGAAATAGGTTTGTCTTTTGGTATTTGTCTGCTTGGTTGTTGTTTCTTTACACAGGGTGCGACATAAACAGTACAAATAAAATATCAATAAGCTTTTTACTGTAAAACCCGATCAATTAAATTTTGTTATTCATTCAATGTAGTTAGTGGCCATAACAAAGAAAATAAAAATTAACATTTGATGCTTACAACTATAATAACGAAACACAAAAGATTAACCCACTTACCATTGTTCTCAACTTCAACGGAGTTGCTGGTGGTTGGAGGGGAAGGTGTGCTTTCAAATGAAGTGTTCTCTGATGAAGTGTTCTCTGATGAAGTGTTACCTGATGAAGTGTTATCAGCCAGCGGGGTGTTCGTTTCTATGATGTCTACAGGACAAACTGTTGGTCTTGTTCCTAATATTTTATCAAGTTCACCAAACCACGGACATTTGTCTTTTTCTTCTCCTGAACTCCCACTCTTATCCAGTGCGTCTCTTGCCTTCTGGTAACTTTGGCGCAGTTTTTTCACTTTAATGCGGCATTGTTCTGGAGAACGCTTGAAACCCCGCTCCTTCATTTTCTCGCTAAACATGGAGAACACGACCGCATTCTTGTGTGTCTTCTCGAGCAGATTAGTTATGTGTTCATCCGTCCAAATGTCGAGGAGGCACAGTGTCTCTTCGTTGTTCCAGGTCTGTCCACGGCTCATTGTTTTTAGCATACATGCAGAGGTGGTGTTAGCATTAGCAACAACAATAATGCTATTTTTCCCACRATGCTCAGCAACGGTGGCCCGTGAAGTCCAAAAAGGTGCATGCTTTACGCAGATAGTTCGGTTCTGGTCCGGTCTGTATTCACACCAGACGCAAACTGAAACGAACCGCACTAGAGTTCGTTTGGAAGCGGACCGAGACCACCTCAAAAAACGGGTCTCGGTCCGGTTGTTTGATCCGCACCAGAGTTCGCATGAGTGTATTCACAGCTGCACAAAAGGTCCGGACCAAAGCTGGAAACGAACTCTGGTTCATTTAAAACGGACCAAATTGTCAGGTCTGAATACGACCTAAAAGTTGGGGCGGCTGTGGCAGAGTGGTTAGGGGAGTCGTCCTGGAACCGGAAGGTCACTGGTTCGATCCCCCGTCCAGCTGTCTCAGATGTTGTATCCTTAGGCAAGATACTTCACCCCAATGCCTCTGATGTGTGTCCCATCAGTGTATGAATGTGATTGGTACTGATTAGTCACCATAGATGATTGTACATGTTAACTTTGTAGGAGATCTGGTAGAGTGCTGTGTGAATGGGTAAATGAGGACACAGATTGTAGTGTGAAGCGGTTTGAGTATCCTGGTTGGGTAGAAAAGCGCTATATAAGTACAGTCCATTTACCGTTAAAAGTGACATTCAAGTCCATAAAAGTAAGAAAATAAGCCAGAGAGACTCAGACTTCCCTCTCCCCAGCCAAGATGGCCACCAAAGCTAGCTTTAAAGGCCTTTTACTCAGGCCCACCAATCAGTAACCCCACCCCCACCACCCCTGGACCCCCAATTTCTCTGAAAAAGTTGTATCTGGACATACAAAAATGGTTATTGCTCAAAAGCTATTAAACATAGGAGCTTCAGATTTTCGTTGTTTCGCTCTGATGAGGGGCTATCCATCAGGTGTTGACCTGATGGATAGCCAGCTGTAGTTTCCAGCTGCACAGAACTCTCCTCCCTTTCTCTCAACCAATGCCCCCCCCCAACCCCAAAAAAGACCCCCACCCAAACCGCTGCAATTTTAGGGTGCACCAAGTAGCCTGACATTTATTAGGAATAAAGACTTCTGAGTTCTAGTGCATTTCTGTATGTGGGGGGCATTATGTTACCGCTATGAGGTATCTAATTCTTATCTGATTCAGTTCGATTCAAATGAATTTGTAATCGGAATGAGAGGGGTGGTTTATGCCGATTGATAATCCGAATAGTGTGCATGTAAACACAATCTGATCATCTTATTCTGATTGTGGAAAACGGACCTGACTGCATATGTCTTCTGGCTTTCGTCCACCGGTTTCTGCTGTTTTGTGGAGGGAGGGACAGCAGCTCTGTAGTTTCCAGCTGCACAGAACTCTCCTCCCTTTCTCTCATTCAATAAAGGACAAACAACATGCGCTGCTTCGCCAAAAAAAAAAAAAAAAAATCTGTGCATCACCTGTAGCTCAGCCAGAGAGTGCAGTAAGGTGTCCACCATTATGGGTCCATTCTGAGTGCACAGAAGATGTTTGTTTATATTCATCACAGAAGTAGAACTTTTTCTGTGTGTTTTTAGGGAAAGTTGACAACTTGGGTGGGATCATAAAAAACACAAATTAAAAACACACAAATCTTATTTTGTGTGTCATTATTTTTGTATTTGTGATACAACTACAATGACACACAAAATAAAATTTTTGTGTTGTATTTGTGATACAACAGTAATGGACTACACCAAGCTCAAAGTTACAGTAAGTAACAAAAGCTGTACTGGACCATCCAGCAATATGAGCAGGATGGCAAAAAAAAAAAAAAGATAGTAGCTAATGTTAGCTTGTTGTTTGGTAGCCTGTTGTTTAGTTAAAATTGTGTGAAAAAAAAACATTACAGTCACTGCAAACTATCCACGTTACTTTCATTTGTGTAACGTATACCCCCGAGTCAGTGAACCAATCAATAAGCAGTATTAGCTGACATAAAACCAAGCCGACCAACCCAGCATCATCTGAACCACATCTCTCTAGGTTCCAGAAATCGTGTCAATATGTTTCCTTCATTATGTTTCAAATACTGTACTTCATGAGGTATCTATCATGTTTTACAAAATGAGTACTCGGTACATACTCAGAAAGGTTCCACTGACAACGAAGCTGGCCAGGACACAAGTACTGTATAAGGTAAGTGAGTTTATTTGCAGTGCAAGTAGGTAGACCCAGGGGAAGCTCTGTGGGGAGATGAGAAGAGTTGGTCAGAGATGAGTATCGAGTAATATGAGAAAGATGAGACTTGAATTGATTCTTGTTTATGCTTACTGAGTTTGTGGAGGAGGACGGCATGGATAGGAGAGTAAAGAATCCAAGAAAGGCGAGGAGCTGAGGTGAGTAATGCAAGACGAGCTGGTGGGAGAGTAGCAGGATGGAGCACCAGAGCTGATCCAAGAGGAGGACTCAAGGAGGTAAGTTTCTGTCAGTTTAGTCTAGTTTTATAGTTAAATTAAATGTTAATTAAACAATGTCTGATGTTACGACTAGTTGCAGTGTTCTTTAAGAATGTAAAACATGTTATGAGTCAAAAGTGTCTGAGTGTGTCCACGTAAAACATAATCAAAAATCACTCAGGTTACACTGAACTCCAAACCAAACAGTCATTATCTCTCAGATCTCTGAGAGGCAATTTCAGGTCAGTCATTGCTGGAAAAGAGAGTGCTTCTTCATGCTACTCTGTCCATGAAAAACATAAAGAAATGAAAAAACACTAAATTTGTTGCAAGCTCACTGAAAATCTCTGTACCACAACAGTTACTACCAAATTATGATGCCTTGTAAATAGAATTAAATGCAGAATGTAGTGATTTGCAAACTTCTTAAACCCTTAATTTATTCACAATGAAATTCTGAATTTGATGGCAGCAACACGTCTAAAAAAAAGTTAGGTCAGGGGCAACAAGCTGTAAAAGCCAAAACATAAAAACAGTTTGCAACCAATTAGATTAATCGGCAACAGGTCAGTAAGAGGACTGAGTGTAGAAGATCTTTTCTCAGAAATAAAGTTGGGAAGAGGTTCAGTAGTCTGCAAAAAAATGCCTGTAATGATGTTCTACAACAACAAAAAACAGAAGATTTTCTATTATCTCCCTATATTTCTTATCAAAAGATTTCAAGAATCTGGAGATTTCTTTGTGATCAAAGGGACAAGGTCAGAAGTCAGTATGGAATGCCCATGATCTTCAAGTCCTCAGGCAGCGCTGCATTAAAAACAATTCTGTTATAGACGTCAATAGATCCAGGAAACTTCCACAAAATTTATCTGTAAACAGAGTTCACCATGCCATCAAATGCTAGTTAAATCTCTATAAAAAAGACTTATTCAAGCACTATTTAAACATCATGCCATCTTCTCAGGGACAGTTAGTTTATAATGATAATAATAATAATAATAATAATAATAATGTTTATTCATTCATTTAATTAAAAACAACATAAATTCAATATAATTAAAATACAAATCATAAATAAATGAAAGGCAGCAGAGGAAGACGAAATCTTCAATTTACAGTGGCCTTAAGCAAAGTGGAAAGGTGTTCTGCTGTCAGGTGAATCAAACTTTGAAATTCTCTTTGGAAATCATGGATACCATGTTCTGTACTGAAGACAAGTGGGATCAACTTACCTGTTATCAGTGCACTGTGCAAAAGCCTGCTTTCATGATGGGATGGGGCTGCGTTGGTGTCTATGGCATTAACAGTTTACAATTCTGGAAAGCAATGCAGAACTAAAAACACACGAAGAGCGCAAACCTCCACCAAGACCAATTCCCCCTATCCTGCAATAGTGAAGAATCCTTCAAAAAAATTCCCGGATCTGGATCATGATCTGGATCATTACCAAAATGTAAAGGTGAGTTTCTTTGGCCAATACCTACCTGTGGTAAAAGTTTCATGAAAGTCCATCCATAAGTTGTTGAGTAATTTTGTCCACAGACAGACAGACAGACATGACTGAAAACAACCTCCTTCCTTGACGGAGGTAAAAATAGACAATGGACATAATGATATCTCAACTATTCTATTCTATTCTGACAGGTTATTGGGCCTCATGCAAGAACCGTTTGTACGCACAGATTTGTTCTTAAATTGTGTGTACGAGTGATTTAGGAGAATTTGTGGCATTCACCAATGTTTTCGTATTCTAAGATTTTTTTCAGATACGAACAAAATTCACGAGTGGTCCAGACCTGTTGTATGTTTTACGTGCAGTCAGTCTGCTGTTATCCAGACGGGTTTTCTTCACTAATAACATTAGTTTGAAGATATTTTGAGTTGAAAATAAATCACACTCCATAATTATGTTGACAATAGGCTATTCTGCTTGGATTAGAGTTATAATTTTAAATGTAATAATTTAGACTAGCAATATAAATTGTCCGTTCTTCCGTTTTCCGCCGCTTATCCGGGATCAGTCTCGGTGGCAGCAGCAAAGAGACCCCGCTCTCCGCAGCGACACCTTCCAGCTCGTCCTGGGGGACTCAAGACGTTCCCAGACCAGAGGGGATATATGATCAAGTTCAGGGTTTTCTCCAAAGTGCCAGACTTATTTTGAAAACATTTTAAAATGCTTATTTCAGACCCGCATCTGAGACCAGCACAGAGCGCTGGGGGGGGGGGCACGGKGCGCAGCGCTGYGGCTTCTGAATAAATGAAAATGATTTAACACAGTTGTTTATACTTTTAGCAGCTCTTTTTATTCCACAGCTGGCCTGCTAAAAATGACAGATTTTCTTTTCTGGATCTCTGACAGACGGACTTCAATCTCTGAACTCACAAAGTTTTTATTTTTTCAGTTTTCGCTGTCATTTTTCATGAATGAACACTTCCTTGTATCTGATGTAGGAAACACAGCCTTATATGGTGTTTTTGGGGTGGTAATTATGCTAATCTCTCGCGTGCACGAGCAGTTGGATACGAACAGGTGGAATTTACGCAGCTCATTTACGCACTTTTCCTGAAGATAGAAGAGTTTGTTGAATCTGACGTGACATGTTTGTACGAACCCTTTGTACGAACAAAAGTAAGAGAAATTTCGGATAAGAATACGAACATGTTCTTGCATGAGGCCCATTGTTTTTACACTTTACTTTTTTCAAGACTGTAATTAAATATAGATCTCCAATGGCCTTCAAGTAAAAAAAAACAACAACTAAACGAAAAAA